TCTTGCTCCTTCCGGACACTCTTCCACACCTCCTACAACAACTTCTCCCTCTCCTCCTCCAAAAACTTCTCCTGCACCTTTTGTAAAAACTTCTCCCTCTCCTCCTCAATGAACTTCTTATGCACAGTCGGCCATAACTTATCTCTTTGCTCCCCTAATTTAACAACAACAATCTCTTCAACCTCTCTCTTACTCATTTTCTTTGTAGATGATTGACAAAGTCCAAAATATGCCTTGAAGCCAATGCCTCTAACAAGACCACGAACACACCCAAGATGCTCCTTCGTTTCAATCGCTTCACCCAAGATGTCATGAAGACCTTGTTAATTGAAGAGGTCGACTTTGGTTTATTCAAAAAGATCATCCTACAACACATTAAATTTTATCTTTACCAAATTTTATCTGATGTGTACTCCCTGTCTTTTCTTTGGCGTTCCCTCTTTCATTTATCATGGCGTGATGGTTGAGATGGACTTCGATCAAGACTTATAGAATCCCCCAGCTTTTCTTCCATTTTTTTCTTTTTTCGTCCCTCAAATTTTTTTCAATTCTTTGATATCCTCCATGAGACAACCTATGTGGATAGATATTTTTATCTTAGTTTTCCTTTCCTTTTTGGCTCTTTACCAAGAATTCAGGAGTTTTACGAGATTCTACAAATTTCTCCCAAGTAGCTTTATCAATAAATGAATATACCTCGTATGGAGGTTTTTCTTTATCTTATCCATGTTTAATATAATCATGGGTGAGTTGTGTCTTAAATCCCCTCTAACGCTCACCACAATCAATAAGCATTTTTTTCACGCAGTTATTATATGGAGTAATAATGAAGTGATCCTATGTTTACACAATAGAGATGTTATTAGTATTGCACAAAAAATAAACTTGTAAAATAAATGATAGGATACAAGATCAATACCGTAATATCAGATCATATGTCGGTTTTTAATTTATCGTCAATGTCATGCCAACTATTTATCAAAATACTCACTTTACTTCTACCTTATAACACAATGTAACCTAAAAAATCATCAGCTTTTTAACCTTCAACCTTGTCGGTTTCCGCATCAACTCTAACCGGGTATCGAATATCAGATTTGTTGGCTTTTTTCTCCTTTGTATACATTGTGGCACCTCTAGTTTTTCTTTTACGAGTTTGTGTATTAATGGAGTTTTCAGCAGATGTTGTATGGGAGGTGCTTGTTGAATCGGCCATGATTATCAAGATGAATAGACAAAGTGAAAAACTAACGTTGATGAATATACAAATGGAAAATAATTAAAAAAATGATAAATAGACAAAGTAACCAAGAAACCCTACACAAAATGATCAATAAACAAAGTGAAAAACTAACATTGATGAATACACAAAGTAAAGATTCTGTGAAGAAAAAACCTGTTGCAAAAATGACATTCGATGAATATCTTTTGGAAGAGTTTTGATGAATATTTCCTAAGGTTTTTTGTGAAATGAGAGCGACGAAATGACGTTTGAGTGTTTATAGGGTAAATGAAAAGTTAGAAACTAGCTAGATAGTTCTATGAAGTATATCATGCAAAATAAGTGTCATTTCGGTTTTACTCAAAAATCGACGTGGTAGTGTTATTAAAAATATAAAATTATAAAAATAACTTCATAGCGCTATATTCTGAGAATTCATTTAAAACTTATATCACGTCGGATATTTAAGAAAACCAAGGGGTTAAAATTTTTCAAATAAAGTATTAAAATAGTATTTCGAAATTAGTATTATAAAAATGTTAATGCAAAATATATTACGTCTCAGTTGGATCATGTAGCCGAGGTAAATACTAATGGAACAAATAGAAAAAATTAAAATGGAAATTAGAAAGGCGCCAAGTGAGAAATGCCTACTATCAATTGAAAAAAAAATATAAAATGCATCAACTGGGTGTCGAAGCGAGCTCCCTTGTTGAAAGCTTTTCTCGATTATAATAAATAATCGAGGTCTAATGTTTTTTATTTAAAAAAAAGTTATTACAACATATCGCTTTCAGGACCTATACCCTCGTTTTTTCATTATTCGAGGTGTAACCTTCGTCATGAAAAGTGTTATTTATTGTAGTGTGTTTGATGTGAGTGTTGTATGCCGCTCTAGAGATGTCAAAGTCAATCATGTCTTCATCCAGATAGTTTGGGTCAAAAATCTCGCCAATAGGTTTAAGTCTTACAATGGTGGCTATGTCGAAAAGGGTTGGTGTCATCATTCCGCATGGGAAATGAAAGGTATGACATATACTATCCTAAAAATATAAGGAAGCAACTAACATACTTGAGCAATAAGTCGGTCATATTTTTGACAATTGGATTAAATCGAAAATACCCATGTCTTTCCAGACTTGGGATTTTCCTTTTCTATCTTTTCTAACCGAGCTAAGTAAAGGATTCTATCTTTAGAATCCTTAAACAAAGGAGAAGTTCGAAAAATCCTAAACCCATTATTCATGTAATTTAAATTGATAGGTTCATCTGTTAAAAGATTTCCTTGCTGATCGGGATGAGATTTTTCCTTAGTGTGAACTTCATCTTTATTCCTATGTTTTATAACATTTTCTATGGGTTTATATCTATCATAAGTTGAAAAAAATTGTTTGATTTTCTCAGGATCTGCCGATGGGTCCTAACATTGCATAATTTTCAGTGGAGATAGAACTAGGGAGTAATACTTGAAATTGGTAGATTCTTCTTTGTTTTTCAGTGAACAGTTCAGACACATATTATTGATTAACAACGGATTGAGGTCCTAGAAGTTTGTTGACAAGAGGAAGCCCAAAAGATTTTTTATCTTATTTCTTCTTCGTATCCTTATTAGCAGTGGTGGAGGACACCATTGTTATGGAAAAAGCTTGTTTGAAAGGAGAACTTGGAGTGATGAAGAAGATAAAGAACAATGAATAAGAGTTGCAGAAAATCTGGAGAGAGAAAAGTGTTTAAGATGAAATAAAAAGGCTATTTATAGGCTTAAGATTGAAACGGTTCTTTGGAATGCATTGAAGGTGGATTTTTTGAGTTGGACGCGTGTTAACCGGAGAGCCTGTTGGAAAGTGGCGGCAGTTATAGCTACCCACAATTTCCTAGAAACTAGAAGTATCATGATTGAAAAAGATTCACACGTAAAGTCTGAAAATACATTTTGCCGATACATCATAATGATAATGACGTCATCAGAACTGAAGAGTTTAAGCATTGAAATGAGTGTTCAAAAAATGCCCCTTTCTTAATTATGTCGAAAAGGACATTTTCGGGGGGCAATTTGTTAGCTGAAGTTTTCGACACTATGTTGTCTTGAAAAAAAGGAGAAAAATATCTTTGGAGATATTTGGGGTTTTCGATGAGAAAGGATGCTTTGTTAAATTTCGGTCGAAGTCACTCCTTTGAAAGAAGAAAATGTTGGATGAGACTTAGAAGTATTTTATAAGTTTTTGCATAGGTTCGATAAGTAAAGGTGGCATTTGACAGGAGTTTTGAAATTGAATTAGGAATAACTGATTTTTGTCCTTATCTAGTTTCAACAGAAAACGTGTGGAGCTTCAGGATGAAAGGAAGACATGTAGTGCGAAACATGTCAAGTTCTGAGCGAAAAGCCATTGAAAATGGTTGTTTCATTTTAGTATATATAGAAGTCTTAGTGTTAGGATTCAGTGTGTTCATTCATTTGTATAAAATCTCACATAAACTCAAAGTATCTGCGTATTGAGAAAAGATTCCTCTGAGAAATGTGCATGTAAACATCATCTTTTATTTAATTACAATTTATCATTCTAGAATTTATTTTTAGCAATTTGCTTGTAGCAATTTACTTTCAATTGTCTTTATTGAATTTTCTTATAAGTTTCATAAGTTTTATTTAGATACTCATTTAGATCAAAATCAACATTATTGAAAGACTATGAATACTGTCGAAGTGTTCTTCGTTTCAAAGAACAAAGTTTAAATAAGAACACATGTCGTATGATCAATCTAGTCGATCCCGTGAGTAACTAAAACTTTTCGTTGTTTTTGAGAGACTAGCGTTTGTTTACCAATTTTTACGGTAAACACATACACTTTATATATTATTTATTAGTTATTATAAATTTTACACTAATCTCTCGATTTTGAGGCTTTCGATTTTTTAAAGTCCTGAGTCGTGGACTTGGTTTCCCTGACTCAAGATTGGCTATGAGTAGACTTAATTCCTATCTGTTTGAATATAAACTCGTAAGGCTTGGTCTGGCTACTTCAACTCCCATTGTCCATGGTATGGGTAACAAACCACACATTTGGGCTAGGGCTTCCTGGTTCAAACTCCCATTATCCATTTAGTTTTTAAACATGAGAGATGACATGTTCCCACAACTGATGACTAAGACAAGTCGTTCCCCCACGATTCAAGGGAGGGTGAACCCCACTCTCTCCATATTTCGATGTCATGGAGCACTAGTGCAGAAATGACTTTTTACATCGGGTGAAATTGACTTTTTACATCGGTTCTGGGTCCGATGTAAAGTCAGGCGATATAGTAAATCAGGGACTTTTTACATCGGTTCTGGGACCGATGTAAAAAGTCCCTTTTTTACATCGGTTATAATATCAGAACCGATGTAATAACCTGTTATTATGCACATTTTTTTAAAAATTGATCCAGTTTTTTACATCGGTTGGAAGTAATACCCAATGTAAAAAGTCCCTTTTTTACATCGGTTATAATATATGAACCGATGTAAGAAACAGTTATTATGCACATTTTTAAAAATAAAATATTACAAAGTTTATAAATCAAAACTCATTACTATTACAAAAATAAAATAAATTTAATCCAAAAAAAAATTACACCTATTTACCACACACGAAGTTTATAGACAAAATTAATGTTGGATAATTGCTTAGCGCATGTTTGCATCTCAAATGGTTCAACGCGACCATACAATAAAGTTAAAGCTTGGTATTATAGCTTCTCTCTTGGAACAAAAAAAGAGATTTTACAATAAAAACAAAACTATTGAAGAATATAAGTTCTACAAATAGGACACGATCCTTGTTGTACTAGCCATTTGTCAATGCATTCTAAATGATAAATGTGACAACATTTTGGAAGTATTCTCACCAATTCTCCGTTCTCAAAATCCTGCAAAATCAATATGTAAAACATAAGTTTATGTAAAATATGAAAACTTCTAAAATCTCAAAATGATATATAAATGATTAAAATGAACTTTTTTGAGAAGTTAAGATATTTTGTTTCTGACCTGGAAGCAAATTGAGCAGCATGATTCATTGTATAATTTCATAATTTTGTCGGAAGAGTTAAATTTATGAAATGGGAGTTTCATAATACAAGTTTGTGACATCCCTTTAACTCCCATGCTGTCATAAATATCTGAAACCACTCCTCCATAAGCTCCTTCTACTGAATTTATCTGAAAACATTTAACTTTTTTTTTAATCAAATGTAACCCATGACTAATATTGTAATTCAACATTTAGTACTAAAACTTACATAAGCTTGTGCCACAGTTGGACATATCCATTCCATAAACACTTTTCTATTTAATAAACTTGTCAACAAAGCAACCTGCAATTCCATACCTAAATTTTTTAGGTGACAAGAACACTATCTCTGTTAGATTAAGAATACCAGATACGATACTAACACCGACACTCTGAACACTATCCGGATATATGTCATTGTCGTGTTAGTGTTAGTGTTGGACACGAAAATATTGGTACTATGAGAAATCTTACCTTGGAAAATGACTCACCATCAGAAGCTAAACTCATAAACTCTATGGTTGCAATGGCTCCTCCAATTGCTCCTTTGCAAGCTCCATCAAGAAAACCAGCTTCTGTGGTTTGGCCTTTTATAGCTCCTCCTATTGTTCCTATTATCGAACCTCCTAGAGTTCATAACACAACATTTTCACTCACTTTTTACAGTAACATATACATGATATAAAGAAGAGAAGCAAAATGCAACATACCAAGTGCTAGAACACAAGTGAATACAGCAAAGAGAATTCTCTCCATAACTTTGATGAATTCTCTCCATAATAATTGCAGCACATGTATGCAGTAGAGTATAACCTGTGCAAGAATAAAACATGATAACTTTTCTTTTTGTTTCCTATTATATAAAATATGGTTTTATTAAATAGTTTCACACCACAATATTTCACATCCGAAAGAAATTGAGTCTCATGGTTTACATTTGACCAGGTTCCTACGAATTATCAATTGTGGTGATTCGACTGTGACTTAAAACCTTAGTTACTCCTAACATTCATATCCAACTTATACACAAGCCTCACAACAGCATCACACAACATTCAGCAGCAAAACCATATTATTTTCATTTTCCATTCCTGAAACTTGCTTCTTTTCACTATGACTTTTATTATTGTACTAACACCTAGATTATAAATCACGCAGAGAAACCTCACAAATGAATTAAAATAAAGACAATATAACTTAACATAATTTTGCTTTGAATAACATAAAAAGCATGAGAACAGAGACATTAATTGCAGTATGTCAGTGGAAAACACAAACCCTAGCAGGTGCAGCGCATAAAACACGATTCTGGCATTGCAATTCAAGCAATAACCTAGCATCTTCCGCTTGATGAACAGAAACAACCTTATCAACAACCATGAAAAACGAATCACCGGAAGCATCAAATCGAACAATTGACGCCTCTTTATCCAACCGACAACAAAAGCTCCTCCGACCACGAACAAGGTTCACCATCGCAAAATAATTATCCCGCGAAACAGTCAGGGAAAGCTTCCCGGACGGATGAAGAGCTAGATCATTGATAGCCTTTTTATGAACAGGAAGTGTCTTGAGATGAACGAAACCGTCAGCATCGAAGATCGCGAGGGAACCGTCGGCATCTGCAGAAACGAGATTGCGAGGGAAAGGAAGATGAGGAGGCGAGTAGAACGAGAGAGCGGTGACGGTGGAGGAGTGGTGGGTGAGGGAACCGAGGGAGGAAGCGGCGGAGAGATTGTAGAGTTGGATAGTGTCGTCGGAGCCGCCGGAGGCGACGACGGAACCGGAGATGGCGACGAATTTGATTAGGGAGAGATGGGAAGGGTAGGAGAAGAGAGGGTTTAGGGTTTGTTTGTTGGGGTTGAGAGTGAAACCCCAGATGAAGCGTTCGTATGAGCATGCTACAAGGCTTATTCTTCTCTTTTCGCTCATTGTTATGTTGTGTTACACTGCCTCCTTTTTGAATTATTTTTTTTTACAATGCACCTATTACATCGGTGAATTGTAATACCCGATGTAAGGGTTGGCAAGCTTTTTTTCTGACTTTTTTTTTACAATGCACCTATTACATCGGTGCATTTGTAATACCCAATGTAATAAGTTGCAAAAAAATTAATTTATTCTTTAATTTATTTTTTATATTAATATCTGTTGTGAAGATATTACATCGGTTTTTAGTCAACCGATGTAATATGTTGCATGTTTTTTATTAATATTTCTACTACTTTGTTTCTTATTTACAAAAATGCCACCGTATTTTTTCTGAAAACTTTTTACATCGGTGGATGCGTTTGCCCGATGTAATAGGTAGCGAAATATATTTTTTTTCATATTTTTTATATCATTGCAAATAAATACCTGATGTAAAAAGTTTGTTAATTGTATTTTTTACATCATATATTTTGATACCCGATGTAAAAACCTTTTCTCAAATGTCTTTTTTTTAGTAGTGGAGGCATAATAGGTCATTCTCTAGTTCTTTGATCGAAACACAAGGAGTTTATAAATATCTTAACTTCAGGGTGGATTAAACATTAAACCATTCACCTAGTGAAACACACATACAAGACTTCTCATGACTACGCGTGAGCTAACACTAAACACCATCATTAATTCTAAATAACACAAACCTTTCAAATATAAGACTCCCCTCATTGTATTTTTTTTTAGCAACGTACGATATTCAATTACTAAAGTGATTATATTTATTAAGAGTATTTTAGTAAATGATACAAATTTATCACTAAAATCGACATATTTAATCTTCTTAAGAAGGATGCATAATTCAAATATGTTACTTTTAATGAGACAGAGAGGAAATATATCTTACATGAACACAAACATAATAACTGGAGTTAGAAACAATCAATCATTCCAATTAAAAATAAATCAAATTTTAAATAAATTTAAAATTTTCTCTCTCTTTATTGATTGTTGTTAAGAATATAGATTTATAGATATTTTCTTGTAAATATTTATCGACAAAGAAATTAGTATGCAAAACTCGAATGAAATATTGGAGTAACCTCTACAAATACATCAAACTATAAAAGTAGTGTGATTTAAAATCTCATGTGTGAATGTATTATGAACCACATTAGATGATTTCTTTCATGTTATTCAAATTTTCTCACAAAAAAATTAAAATTTTATGATCCCAAATCTCAATCTTTTTCATATATATTAGAAAATCTTAATTATAAGAGTTTTTCCGGCATATATTCAAGAACTTCTCAATTAGAATTCACACTGCAACAGTCGCAATACATGTCACAACAATTGTAATGATCGCAATCGCGATATTCACACATCTATAATGCAAAAACAATTTGAAACCATGCTAAAATTATCTTTTGAAAGTTAATAGAGCCTTCTTGTATAATGATGGCAAAGCTAAGGATGACTATTCCCTATCGTTAAAAAACTAGTTTTGAATAACTAATAACTACTATAATCTAAAAGAAAAGCAAATCACTTTAACAGACTTCATGAAAATTATTATATGAAAAATATTACAGAGTTCACAATCTGCCCTCAATTAACCATACACATAAGTAATTGATTTGAGAAACTAAAAGTGATTGAATCTAACTACGAACTATACATGGGTATATCGTGTCGATATTCGACAATATTACACGTGTCAAACACCAGACACACCTTCTTCATTTGGTAGCCAGAGGAAACCAACGTTCATGAAAAGAAGACTGATAACCTATCATGAACAAAAGGAACACAAGCAATAGTCCAACACCCCACGGAGACCCACCGGCTATATGCAATGATTCCCTCCCCTCCGGCAAAGGTAAAGAGAGCGATCCTCCACTTGAGAGACAGTGAACAACCAGCAACAATATAAGTGGCACTAGGGCTAACAAAATCTTCACATGAATAAACATGTCCTCGTACTTGGACTCATAGTTTATGTACCATGAAAATACTAACACGAAGAAAAGGATGAACATGAATAAACATAAGTGGATTGGGAAAGAAAAATATTCCCAAAAGTAGTAGTAACTATTGTTGTTGTATCTTGCCATAGATATTTGTTATTTACTAATGAAGAAAGGTGTTTCTTATATAATAAGATGGAGTAAGAAAAGAGTGGATGTAATTCAAAGTTTTTGTGTGATGAGAAGGTGAGGACAAATGGTGTTGTCCAATAGGAAGGTGCCAGATTGTTGTCGAAGTCGACAAGAACGTGTGAAGATGAGAGAATCTAGGGTGAAGAGATAAAAAGATGCAAGAATCCATGAGTTGCGCTTCGTGTCTGTGTGATGATGCTGATTGGGGCTAAGTGCAAAGTGGGGTCAATATCATTGGGAAACTTGCTTAGGGTTTATTTGATAGGTTTTATTTGTTTTGTTTGATAAAGAAAAATGTATTCAACATGTAGAATAACTATTTGAAATCTATTTAAAAAATTACAAAAATTTAAAACAGGAGAGTAGATCACTCCACTAATAATAAAAGTATTTTTTAAAATCTCATTTACAAATAAATTGAGATTAGAGTAAATGTTTAGTACGAAGAATTAGGTACTTTCTACGATTTAAAATGAAGTTCCTACATAATTAAAAAAATATAGAAAAGATATACACATTATCTACAAAATAATTGGCCGATAAGTTTTCTATTCCTTGGCACTATTCATTTTCTTTCGATGGAAAGCAAGTTAGGGAAAATTGTTTAGGCTAAATCATGTTTTCATATTCTACAATAAAAATAGGTTTTATTAACTTCAAAAAAAATTCATCAAAATGTATATTAATTAATAGTAACCTAAGAATCTTCATATAATACTTTTACTCAGAATACGAGTGATACAAAACTAGACACACTACGCCAAAAAAGATCTACGAAAGCGCTTTTTTTGACCTTTAAAAGCGCTTAAAAGCGCTTTCTAAGGTGGCGCTGCTATAGGTTTTACCAGCGCTTTTTGTTTAATGAAAAGCGCTTTCGTAGGTCTACCTATGACAGCATTTTTTATAAAAAGTGCTCTCTTAAGTATCCTTTTGGCAGCGCTTTTTCTAAAAAGCGCTCTCTTAAGTACCCTTTTGGCAGCGCTTTTTCTAAAAAGCGCTCTCTTAAGTAGGCTTTTGGCAGTGCTTTTTTATGAAGAAGCGCTTTCATTGGTGGCGCTTTTTTCTGGAAAAGAGCTTTCATATGTTGTCTTTTAGCAGCGCTTTTGCCTGGAAAAGCGTTGTCATATGTTTACCTTAGACAGCGCTGTCATATGTTTACCTTAGACAGCGCTTTATGTGAAAAAGCGCTTTCATAGGTGTATCTAAGGCAGCATTTTTCTTCAAAAAGCGCTTCCATAGGGTGTTTTTTTGTAGAGGTATAATTTATATAATTCATATACCTGCATTGTTTGCAGCATATTATTTATATAAACCAGTTGCCATATCCTGTAATTCATAAACCGCAGTAATGCATTGTATACCATTGTAATCCAAAATATATATACACCATTTTTGTACCTCAAAATATATATAAACCATTGTTATCAGCATTGTAACTCAAAATCAGTCTTACAAAATCAATCCTAACAACAACTAAACCAGTCCTTATATGATTCTCTTCTCAATAAAATATTGACACAATTCCTCTTTGATTTCTTCCAACTGAAGTTTCGTGTAATATGCACATTTGTACTCATCGAAGTACTACATAACAAAACATAATATGCATGATTTAGTTAAAAGTAAAAAATTATATGAAATATCTGAGAAATAATAAAACAAATCCTAAGTTATAAATCCATACCGTGACTGGAATCTCTATTTGATTCAGTTGAATGATTTCTTTGATAAACCGCATAACGAAGTATCTGCAATCTATACCGTTTTGCTGTTGAGGACACTACATATAAAAAGAAATAAGAATATATAGTTGTATTGTTTTATCAAATAGCATAAATATTATAAGCAAAATAGTGAAAATTAATATACCTGCACTTTGATCCAATTAATGTTGTTTGATTTAGACCGTCGTACCCGAGCTTCTCTTTGACACCGAAATACTTGTATCGCTCTAACTAAATAAAAATATATATTTAGAACAATGTCACAGAAATAATTAAATATATAAACACACACAAATATTTAGAATAATCTCACTTACGTATCAATCATTAACTTCATATCTGGGTAATTTGTCCAATCACCGTCAACCGAATTCAGATAATAGACCACTTCTTTTATAAGATCGATAGCAACCAACAACCAGTGACGTCTATAAATTAAAACAACAGTTTAGAAGAAAATTTTCTACGCAAAAATTACAAATATTAAAATGAACTTAGAATGAAAATCTAACCCTGTAGGAATAGTATTATACGCCCAAAGATATAAGCTTTTTGTACTGCCAGTTGCCATGAATCTTTCGACTAAGTGCTCTCTTACTGATTCTGGTTCCCTACCAATTGTCGCTGCGCTGACACAGGAGGAAGACACGAAATGGAATCTGTTTGACAATTAATTCCCGCGCATCAATTTGTCATATAACAGCCTTAAATAAAAACATAATTAATATTAGACTATATTCATTGAAATGTTTAAAAAAGATTTCAGCTAATTACATAATATAAAGATGGGGGTTACCGGATGTATGCGTGCATAATACTGACGCCCAATTCTTTATGACGGAAAATTTGTTTCACGTCCTCATGTCCAATTATTTCGGTGCAAGGAAAACCAAAGATACCTTGATCCATATCCATTTGACGAATACCACCATCCATCAAATTTGTTGTTCCCACTATTGTTTCAAGACACTTCCGGTATCGAGGGAAAAATCTAGTAGGCACCCTTTTCTTGGGTGGTACGCTAACGATCTTCTGGCTTACTTGTTGTGACCCTTGAAAAGGTACCTAAAAATCATATAGACTCAGTTAAATTATAAAATTATGCAGTTTTTTATTCGGATCATATAATTAACACTTTAAACGTACCTCTTTTTGTGATACACCAGACTCGTCGTGCCGCAAAATCCCTTTACCCTTAGATGCGGGTGTTGTAGGAGTCTATAATTACCGTGGAAATAACTGAGGTCAGAACTGACAGTTGAATACTTAAAGATTCATAATTGTTTTTAACATACTTGATCATCTATGAAAATGAGGTCCGATGGCCATGCAACAAAAGATCCTATTGCATCTCGCAGCAATGTGGTCTCAGCAACAATGCCGGGTACCGGCAGCAACACATCCATATCTAAAGCAATGTCAACCGATACTTTCATGTGTCCATCCGGAAGCGGTCTATGGTGAAGTAAATCTCCCGAAGTGTTATGGAATTTTCCCTTGCCAACTAGTCGATAAGTCGGCGACGATAGGTATAGCTGGCAAGATGAAATGCCATAAACCAATAATAACCGTTAGAAGTGACTAAAAATATTCTATAATAATAACGGATATATATTGAAAATTACCTCGGGAAATTTATGCTGACAGTTGATACTAGCTTTGTCACTAGTTTCTTTCAATTGTGAACTGCTCTTTTCCGCCATATATCTCTCTTTATCCTTCTGCAATTCACAGACTTGAGCTTGTAAATCCTGCAATGTTTGCATCACTTCTACATTGCTAGGATTTCTTCTCCTTGGATGCTTATACAAAGAGGTTTGAGTCACAACATGACCTTTACCCCTCACCCGACCCGGATACTCAGCAATATTTAGTGCTCGACTAAGTACGCTCCTGGTATCCTGATGGTCCTCACCTGGGGATACTGATTGCGACAAGGTCTCCTGTAATTTATTTACATATCGAAAATTATTAGTGGAGATAAAAAATTATTTAAATATTAATAAAAATTAATTGATTTAACTAAAGACACAATATTATACTTACACATTCATCATACACATGTTGAATATCGGGATTAACAGCTTGATCCTTGCCCACACGGGCTTCCTTCCACAACAAATGTGCCGGTAGTGATGTTGCGTCACTTTTCGTCTCTTCTAACTACGCATTGACACAAGTCTTAAGATCATCAATTATAACACATTGAGAGAATTAATAAGATCGTAGAGTTTATATTTACTTACAATTTTTTCCTCTAAGCGAGCATATCCCAAACACCCTTTTTTGTATGGATATGCGGGTTTTGACGCTCTCTCGCGATTGATAGCACTCACTTTCTTGAAATTCTCGTCTCTTCTTTGGCCTACAAAACCAACCCATTCTTCAGGTGTAATGAAGTTCTCATATTTCTTTGTACGTTCCGGATCCTCTTCAAGAAAATTTCCTTCATCATCTTTAAGATACTTGTTTGTTAAAAATATTCTCCACCCTCTGTGTTTTTTTCCAGCCAAACCCATTATATACTTTTTACGGGTATCTTCAATGTTAAAAGACCTCTACAAAAAAACATACGCATAAAGTGTGTTAGTAAAAGAAATTTAAACACATATTATCGTCAAGATAAAGCAAATAACAAAAACCATATATGTACCTTTATCTCAGTCCAAACTTTCTCCTTAGCCTCATCCAACTCTCCTCTTTTCCATCTAGGAGTGGTGATCGAAATGTGTATACGAACAAGCGTACCAATGTAGCTTGTCAACTTTGCAGCATTAGACCCAATTAGTTGGTCATTATCATTCCAATCTACATTATATGTTACTCCTCTATCTCTATCACGGATGATTCCCCTCATAATAGTTATACCTCGTGTAATATCTTTTTCTGAAGTATTTTCTGGAGTATTTTTAGGAGCATTTTCAGGAGCATTTGCATCTTTTGAGTTTTCTTGATTACTAGCCATTTGACCTGTAATAATGAAAAAAAATAAAAACGAAATGACAAATATAAAAATGAAATGGCAAATAAAAATGAAATGACAAATATAAAAATGAAATGACAAATAAAAATGAAATGACAAATAAAAATGAAATGACAAATTAAATTTTATTGAATGATATAGGCTATAATTATATATACTATTACCCTTTTCAC